ATTTTAAGCCTGGATGCCATCTCTGCTTGATAGCCTGGCGGCCATGCACAGCCTTCTCAAATCCAGTACACTTGAGTTTGTGTTCTTCTTTTACTAAAGGGGGCCAGTAACAGACCATAGTATAAAGCTCCCAGCCCAGAGCCTCATGTTTGGTTAGTCTGACATAAATGTTAGCACTGGTTATGTAAGTGGTTTCACAACTGTGGCTGTGGTTGGAGAGCCTAACTCTATTTCTGAACCAGGTGTTTCAAGTGGCTGTGGTATTTTATCTCTAGAGGGACTGATGAGAATGGAGACTCTAGTCTGTTTCCATACATAGACTAACCATACACAAGGAATTTTTAACATCATTCAGAGACCAGTTGAGTTAACCAGTATAGAAGTTGAACATTTAGAGATGTTATTAATTTTTTTTTAAATTGCTGTACCACAAGGACAGATTTCAGATTATAAACTAAGACTTAAACTATGTTCAGGGTCAGTTTTCTATTGATGAAAAAAAGGTTTTGGTTTTTTTTAATTAGCACATATTAGTTGCCAGGGGGGTTAATTGTGATATTTTCATGCATACATATAATACATTTTAACAAAACTAATTCCTCCATCTCTCTCCTTCATCCTGTCTCCCAGCTTCTTAAAACAGTTTGAATAGGTTTAATTGTTCTGTTTTCAAAAATGGCTATAAATTTAGTTCCACCATTTTCACACCTCTACTTCCAGCTTCTTGCTAGTTTATTGTAGATAAAAGTCTCGGATTTGTCTGCCTGGGCTGGGCCTTGATCCTCAAATCTCAATCTCCTGCATAACTAGGATTACAGATGTGAGCCACCAGTGCCTGGTCTAGGATTTAGTGGGAGGCCAGCCTAGGCCAAGGTAGCAAGAAGACTGTCTCAAAAACAAAATTCCAGAAGGGATCTAGGGACATAACTCAAGTTGCAGAGCACTTTCCTAGCTTATGCACGATTTTGCATATTTGTAGTTCAATCATCAGTGCTACAGAAAAAAATATTAAGAAGTAGTACAAGCTAGTTTTTGACCTTTTGAAAAACACTTTAAAAAAATTCTTTTTTTCTTTTTCTTTTTTTCCTCTCCCCTTCCCTTCTCTTCCCATCCTTCCCCCGCCTCTCCCCCAATTTTCCTCCCCTCCCCAACAAAGTTGTAAAGTTCGTTTTCCACATAACGACTTGTACATCTCATTGTTGCAGTGGGTCCACCTGTATCCCTATTTAAAGGATTTGTTTTTTTCCCTTCCCCTCCACAAATTATACCGATATCAAATACAGTGAAAGCAGGGGTTGTACTGTGGGGGAAGGACATACAAAGCAACAAAGAAATCATCATATAAATGTGTTAGAAACAATCGCATGAAAGAAAAAAAAAAAAACATTTGAATACATATCTTAGGATTTATTTCCCTAACATCAACTTATCTTACCTTTTCTGCTTGACTCAGACATATATCTAGTTATTGCAAATAAGGGAAACCATGGGACCTATGTTTCTTTGGGCCTGGATTACTTCACTTAATATAATTTTTTCCAAGTCTTTCCATTTCCTAACAAATGGGGCAATGTCATTCTTTCTGATGGAGGCATAGAATTCCATTGTGTATATATACCACATTTTCTTGATCTATTCATCTACTGAGGGGCATCTGGGTTGGTTCCATATTTTAGCTATGGTAAATAATGCTGCAGTAAACATAGTCATGCTGGTAGCTTTAGTGTGGTCTTGTTTGTGATCACTTGGATAATGCCCCAAAGTGGGATTGCTGGGTCATAGGGAAGCTCTAATTCTTATCAAGTCTGGGAAGGTGGCTCAGTGGTAGAGCGCTTGCCTTGCATGCATGAAGCCCTGGGTTCGATTCCTCAGCACCACATAAGCAAAAAGAAAAAAGCCGGAAGTGGCGCTGTGGCTCAAGTGGTAGAGTGCTAACCTTGAGCTGAAGAGCTGAGGGATAGCGCCCAGGCCCAGAGTTCAGGCCCCATGACCGGACCCAAAAAATTCTTATCAGAAACCTTGTATTTAAGACTTTATACTGTCATTCTCTAGAGCAGGCAGGTAACTGGACATACAGAAAGCTTTTCTTTTTCATATTCAAAAGTGGAATGCTATACTGTATATCAGATGTTGCTGTGATTTTTATAGTACTATGGTTCGCACTTAGGACTTCATACTTGGTAAGCAGGCACTACCATTTGAGTCATGTCATCATTCTTACCCTGCCTTTTTTTAAACATATATTTTTAGTTAGGGTCTATTGTTCCTGCCTGGAGCTGGTCACAGTCCTTTTCTTGTGCTTTCCAAATAACTGGGACTATAGGCTTGTACTGCTACATCTGGCTTGTTGGATGGGATGGGAAGGGATGGGAGGGTTTCACTAACCTTATGTGCAGGCTGGTTTCAAACTGTAATACTTCTAATATCTTCTGCCCAGGTGTCTGGGATTACAGGAATGAGGCATGACACGATCTAGAATATAGATTAACATTCTCTGTCATTTTTCTAGGTAGTGGTGCTTCTTTGGCCGGTAATAATTACTAAAGCTTTATTCTTAAAACTATATTATCTTTGGATGCTTAAGCCTTACATCTGTTTCACCAGGCAACCTCAGTTAGACCTTTGCTCCTAAAAAGATTGGATCCTACACTTAGTGCTTTAGCTGACCCTACATGAGGATTTGCTGGGGACATGACATGTACCTTTTTGTTTGGTCAAGGCTGGTAGACAACTAGAGGTTGCTAAATGCAGTGAGTGTAGTAAAGCTTTTGAACCAGAAGGCTCAGAGCACCTGTCAGGATCAGGCTTTGTCAAGCTCCTTCACTCTGTCCTTTTTTGCCTCTCTTCCAAGCTTTCCAAATTTCAGAAACTTATCTAGTGTCTCCAGAAAAAAGAATAAATACCAGCAAGTTCCTAAAGGAAGTAGCTTCTTCGTTCTCTACTTCAGCTTGCCTTAAAAGGCAACTCCTCAAGAAATGTATTTTGACTTTTACAAAGACATTTAGATGACCAGGGATATAACCCATGGTGCTTGAGAACCCAGGGTGAGTGCTTGCCTAGCATGTGATGGGCAAGGTCTTGGTTATATCCCCAGCACTCAGCAGGAAATGGGCATTTACTAATCCTCTTGGGGTTAAAAGATTAAGGAGGCAGGAGTGATAGGCATTTGATAACAGTAGGGTAATTTCACATTTAAGCTTTTAAACAGATTTTTTTGAGGTGCTATTGTTTACCACAATTTTGGGAGAATAGCAAAGGGGGGTCTCATCCTAAATAGCTATATTGAAGTGCACTCATCCAACAAAACACCTGCCTACATCACCATATTAGGGAGGCCTACCCTGGCCACTCTGTCTAGTAGCTGCTAGACCCCAGGACTTTGTCTCTAACTTTGTGGAATTTGGATAGCATAAAGACATCATTTATCATTAACTAAAATTATCTGCTTGCCCTTCTAGATAGACTGTAAGTTCTACAATGAAGTGCACCTATGCATTCCTAGTCTTAGTATAATGCCTGACATGCAATAAATCTTATGGATCCATTGCATCCATAAGTAGAAGAAATGATAAGATGTTATTTTCTATATCTATACAATGATTCTAAAATTTCATACTTGGTAATTTTAGATTTCTTGGCCATTGTTGCTCTGGTCAATATATGAGATGCATTTGACTTTTCAGAGCTACTCTTGGTGATATGGGTAGGGATCCTACCTAGTATTTGCTCTTGACCAGTTTAGATAAACTTTCACTTGTTTTAAATAGTATGGGCTTGAGTTGAGGAAGAGGAGTAATGTGGAATGCAGTGATAGAAAGAGATGAGTAGCCAATCTATACACAGAGAAAATGAGGGTTTATACACAGTAATAAAAGGAAGAGGTAACAGGATAGGAATTTGGGTTGAAATTATGTATAGTTAAGTGCTGTGTGTATGTAAAATGGAGCGAAACAGTTGGCATAATAGATAATGGGTAAAAGATGAAAGAGATTTGTAACGAGAGAGATTAGTGTTACTTCGAGAAAATGTGGGGTTGTGTGGGTTTATGGCACCAGATTCACCAATCATATTTCCATTATCTGTGTTTGTGAGCTTTGTTTAAAATGTTACTTTCAGCTTCTCAGTCACTCTTCCAGTCTACCTCTTGTACTTTTGTACCAACCAGATAACCATTACCTTGTGGAATTAGGGATTTTTGTGCAATTATGTTACCTGTGAGTACAAAAGGGCCAGGAGGAATTCCACTGTCACTCCCACTTCATCCCAGAAGCATCCTGCTCACTCCTGAAAGTCTCCCAAACATACTGAAAATTCTCTTCCCCCTCCTTTCCCCACCCACACTGGGGATTGAACTCAGTGCCTCACTCCCAGAGGAGAGGTGAGTGCTTCTCAGTGAGGCTGAGCTACACCTCCAGCCCTTCCAAGTTTTATTATTGTTGCATTCAAATAAATCCTCAGCAAAAAGTAAAGGTAACTCAACGAAGTTTATTTTTTTCTATCCTACTTCTTTAAATGAGAAAAACACCTTTTGTGTAAATGTTCCAGCTTCTCAAAAGGAGTGTGAGTAGTGATATTTAGTTTATGAAGATATTTAATAAAGTAAAATGGTATATGCTTTTTGTATTATAACAATAGGCTTTCATTTCAGTTGGTTTCATTTGAACATAATTTTAAGGTTATATCAAATCTGATTAAGAAATAGTATTCTGGAGAGGGAGAGAGAGGGAGTGCCGGGGGAAGGGGGGAGATATGGGAAGGGGAAGCAAAGGAGGAGGCAGCAATGCTTGATGAGAAATATACTCATTATCTTGCCCATGTAATTGTAACCCCTCTGTATGGTATTTTCACATAAAAAAATTAAAGCAAAAAAAAAAAAAACCAAAGAAATAATATTCTACCTAGAGTCGATAATTTTTAAGACTATTTCTGGTTACAGTTGAAGGTTAAGCATCAATGATAGTTCAGTGATACATTTTACCTATTATCTTATTTCTTTTTAGTCTGTAAGACTTGCATTGTCCAGCACTTTGAAGATAGCAATGATTGTCCAAGGTGTGGCAACCAAGTTCATGAAACAAATCCATTAGAAATGTTGAGGTAAGGAAATGTATAGTTTGTCTAATTAGACTAGTTTTTGTTGTGTATCATACTATTTTCGATATTTTAACTCAGATGTTTTAGATATTATGAACTTCAAGGAATTTTATTTCATTTTTAAGTATTTTATTAAAAGTTAAAAATAAGACTATTACATATTTGGAATATACATTTGCAAGGTAAACCAACTTTTTATGGGGGCTTTCTATATGAATTTAGTTCAGTTATTCGCAGATGCATATGCTATAGTGCTTTCTTACTTCATGCTTTGTTCATTGAGGAGAAAAAGTTCATCAGCCACGAGTGAAAATGGAGATGGGTAGGAGAAAGAAGTGTGCTATCCAGGGGAGCATGAGGATAAACACATAGGGAACTTGGGTGAGATTCCTGGAGGCTTCACAGGCACGTTGGAGCTGTGAATCTGAATCTAAAAGGATATGATGATTTTCTCTTCCAGACACAGTGCAAGTGCAAATTTGTGAAAAGGCAGATAACCTAAAGTTATAAGTATAGCTATGAAATAATTTTGAACAAGAGGTAGACTTAACCAGGAGTTATAGTTGTATGAAGTAATTTTGAGCAAGAGAGAGGAGAATCAATAGTGTATGTAATTGAGGAGGAAAGACTGTGAGTTCAAGGCTAGCCTGATGTACATACTAAAATCCTTTCCAAAAAAGAGAAGAAAAAAGAAAATGTGTGAGGAAGAGATTTTATTGACTGACCATGAATCAGATCAGACTTAAACTGGCTTAAGAGGACCCAAAAGATGTAAGAACATGGGGTTGGAGATGTGGCTCTGATGTTATGAGCAAAAGAGTCAGGTACTGACTTTGAGTCCCAGTCTTAGGACCCTGCCTTCCAAACAAAAAGACAAAGAACATTAAGGAACGTCTCTGTGAAAAGAACTGAAACTAATTGATTCCTGATGCTTAGATGTAGTAAAAAAAAAAAAAAAAAAAAAAGAGAGAGAGATTATTTGGAAGGCAAAGGTGTTTGAGATTAAGTCTATAGACAGTGAAAAGGAAACAGTTACTATGCATGTATATACTCACAGACACACAAATATACACAAAGCTGACTGCAGGGACCTCTTCCCCCCCAGCCCCCACACACACATGCTAGGAATTGAATCCAGCCAAGCATGTACTCTAGCACTGAGTACGCCCCCACCTGTGTAATTATTTATAATGATAATCGTCTGAACAGTGTTAGTAAACAAAAATAAAACTAGGTTAGTTAAATATAGATGAACAACAAAATTATATTGGGAAGGTGGGATTAGGAAAATGTGTTGGGAGGAAAGGGATAGCAGGATGATGGATGAAAACTAAACCTTTATCCTTCCTAAAAGGAAGTCAGAGAAATCTATAATTCTTTGGGTTTTTTTTGGGGGGGGGGGTCCGGTCGTAGGGTCTGAACTCTGGGCCTGGGTGCTGTCCCTCAGCTCTTCAGCTCAAGGCTAGCACTCTACCACTTGAGCCACAATGCTACATCCGGCTTTTTTCTGCATATGTGGTGCTGAGGAATCGAACCCAGAGCCTCATGCATGCGAGGCAAGCACTCTACCACTGAGCCAACTTCCCAGCCTGTCAGAAATCTAAACAGCAGTAAAAATAATGTCTTTTTAAACCAGAAGTCACTGGCTCATGCATGTAATTGTAGCTACTCAGAAGGCTGAGATCTGAGGATGGCAGTTTGAAGCCAGCCTGGGCAAAAAAGTCCTTGAGCCTTCTATCTGCAGTTAACAACCGGAAAACCAAGGTGGTGCTGTGGCTCAAAGTGATAGAGTGCTCGCCTTGAGCAAAAAAGCTCAAGGACAGTACTCAGGACCTGAGTTCAATCCCACAACTGACAAATAATAATAATAATAATAATAATAATAATAATGGTTCAATCCCACAACTGACAAAAAATTATAATAATGATAATAATAATGTATTTTTAAAAATAAAAATATAAAAGTAAACACTAGAAGAAAGATGTTGGATTTAACAATTACCTCGAGGACTATAGGAGTCAAGAAACAGGATGGGCCTGAAACATTAGGTTGTAAAAAAAGTTTGAATTTAAAATTTTATATATCTATTTGATTTTAAATGATTTAAAAAGAGAGAGGGAACTTAAGATCATTCATTTTGAGCCTATCTGGAAGAGGTGTATCATGTAAAACTTTAATTTAAAATAAGTAAGGTATGAGGAATGTTGAGTATTTTGTTGGCATGTGGATGAACTGTTCTTCACAAGTGACAAGAGGAGGTAATTGACTATTCTCACTATTGGAAATACAGAGCTGAAGCTTAGCTGAGAGACATGATAAACAGACAGAAAAGGTTCACTGCCTCCATGTTACTTTCAAGTCACAAAAGTAGATGAGGTCTTCAAGGAAGAGGGACCATTGAACATTTCAGAGTACAGAATACAGAACACAGAGTTCAGCAAATGAGTTGGGTGTGGTACAAGACATTGGTAAGGAGGATTGTGGTCCAAGGCTAGCCTCGTAAAAAAACTTAAAGCAAAAAGAGCCAGAGTGTGACTCAGTGTAGTATACTTGCTTAGCAAATGCAAGTTGCTGAGTTCACACCCCAGAGCCATAAATAACTAAATAAATAATCTTATTCAGTATTAAGAGTTCAGGAGGATAAAAGAAGTAAAATACAGAAGATATGACAGAAACAATATAGAATACGTTTCAGATTTTTTTCTCCTATAGGAGAAAAGACACCAGTTAAACAAGAAAAATGGCTTTTTTAGATGTGGAAACGTGCATGTTTGACATCAGAGAGAAGTGATGCTCTTGAGCAAGAAAACATGAAGTTAGAGGCACATGTTGTGGGGACAAGAGAACGGGCCAGAGAAATGAAGCCATGGAAAGAAAGGGTGCCACCACAGGAAAACATCAATATAAATGCTTAAATTTTGTATCTAGGAAGACAGAATGGCAGATGGTCTAAATTGTTCAAAAAGAGGAATAGAGATCAAAGTTGTGGTAGAGATTTTGAAGGGGTACATCATCTGTTACGCTGCATAGCATAACCCATAAATTAATGCTTGAGAAGAAAGCACTCATTCTCCCTCACCACTCTCTGGCTTAGCACTTGGTTCTGGACTCAGCTTGCCTCACTCCTGCAACTGCAGTTGGCTCCACCGTCCATTATCCAGGAGGCTGCTTTGCTGCTCTTAGCTGGATTCAGCCATGTGTTAGGAATGAATCATCTAAGAATGGGACTGAGCCTAAGCAGGGCAATGTGGCTCTCCCTTTCATCCTCTCATCTTCAGGGTTTGTTCTGCTGCTTAACAGATTCTGGGGGCAAGACAGCGAGCAAAAGCCTGGCGTGCCTCTTGAGACTCAGGGTTAGAACTAAGCACAAAGTCATCTGCATGGCATTCTTTGATCTACAAATTGCATGCATCTCAGTCCATAGTTTCAGGGTTGGGGTTTCTCAGCATTCTGCACTTCACCTCTAATCAGAACATCAAAGGCATGTTCACTTAGAGGTAGGAAGTGAGACCAGGTTTTCATCATTCTAGCCTAGAAATAGATATGCTGCGTATACTGAAGGGTTTGGTGTTGTAGGTGTGCAAAATCATGTGTGTTCTCTGCTTCATACTAAGTACACAGGAGAAATCTCAAACTGTTTGTGTGTTACATTTTTGTATCTTCATTGTTAGTATTTCTCTCCTCCCCCACCCCTGAAGGTTGGATAATACCTTGGAGGAAATTATATTTAAACTAGTACCTGGACTACGCGAACGTAAGTTACTCTTTAGATTCTAAATTTCTGTGCTATAAGAAATAAGTATTTCTAATTAAAAAACATTCCCTGCTTGTTGCTATGGATTTTATACTCTTTTTTTGTTTAATTAGAAGAACTTGAGCGTGAATCTGAGTTTTGGAAGAAAAATAAACCTCAAGAAAATGGACAAGGTAACTTTCTATGTCTGTGTCTGACAGAAATTCAGGCTTTGGTTGCTGTCTTCAAAGTTATAGTTACACCCAATAGAACTCATGTACCCCTTTAGATTTTAGCTAAATTCATGTAAATTTGAAGACATTACAGTTGAGAGTAATTGTAAAGAGGGAATTGAACTTTGGAATGAGAAAAGAAAAATAAAGAGAAAACTGAATAGGTAATTATAACCGAATAGTATATATAGGCAATAATATCTGAAGAGAAAAAGTAATCTCACATTAAGAAGTCTTAGCTTGCAACTAAAGAGAGTTCTTGTTATAAATTATAAGTTCATTTTATTAGGAGACAGAAGTGACTTGTGTCTGAAATCTAGATCAGGGGATTTTGCTATGCTCTGATACTCAGAATGAAGTTTCTCATAGACAAAGCTTAGATGACATCAACTTACCTATTCAAGACATTTTTAAAAATAGTTTTATGTGCTTATTGGTATTTTGCCATCACCTATGTCAAGTGTCTAAATTCCTCCTTTGGGTGCCAGGTAATTTTTAATAATTTAGCCAACATAAATGACTAAGAAAGGAATTTATGTACATTATCCACACAAAGGGGTATCTGAAATTGTATCTTTTTTATTTTCACTTTTTAAAAATTATTTTCACTCAAAATGTCCAAAGTCTAATGAGATCTTTAAGTACATGTATGTGTTCTTACAAACTCATACCACCCTTGGTTTTCTTGTAAGATCACAGAATTGCCAATAAACATCAAGATGGATGAGAAAATACTGTAAAGTGGATATTGTGGCTTTATGAGTTAGATTTAACTAGACTGTTTCCTAAGTGGAGAGGGAAGATTGAGAATAGTTTTGATGACTAAAATAAGGCAGCAGTCTAGCTGCCTTATTTGCCCATTGTGTTACTGTGTATTAAAAATAGCATGAATGTTATTCATGGGCAAAGAAGCTACAATGACTTAACTGGAAGGCTTGTTTTAATTAAGTGTACATTACAATTAGACAGCAGTGTTGTAAAATATAGAAAATAGAAAGTTAATTAAATGTTTCAGTTTTTAATATAACATATTCAAGAGTCCAGAAACACAGGAATAGTCCTCAAAAATTATATGTAGGTTTAGTCTATTAGTTCTTTTTGTGTGTTGTTGTTTTGTATCATAGATTGACTTATGAAAGACTATAACCAGGTTTGTGTATTTTAGCTTCCTTTTCTCATTGCTTCCCCCTTCTAAAAGACTTTTGGCATTTTTGTCTTTAGTTTAAGTAGAGAATTTGGATCTTTCTTTTTTTTAATTTAATTTAATTTAATTTGTGAACATACTGTACAGAGGGGTTACAATTACATGGGCAAGATAATGCATACATTTCTTACCAAGCATTGCAGCCTCCTCCTTTGTTTACCCTTCACCTCCCTTCCTAGCCTCCCCCCTCCCCCCCCACCCAATCCTCCTCCCTCCCCCCCCCCCGCTCCCCCCCACCGACATTGTAAAGCTCCTTTTTGACGTGACAATTTGTACTTCTCATTGTTGCAACAGGTCCACCTGAATCCTTAAATGACTTGTTTTTCCCCATCTCCTCCATTGGAGCTGGGAGCTGGGGATGTGGGTAAAGGCTGCTTGTTTATGAGTTCTCTGGGAATATGGAGAGGAAAGGAGAGAGCATATAGAAAAAAGAGCCTGTCTCACCTCTCTGAGGGTTTTCACTGGAGGGAGGGTCTCTGCAGTGTCATACTCGCCTAGCTCTAATCAGTCTCATTTTTTCACCAACTGATTTTATGCATATTTAATAATTTGAAATTTTAAAATATAGACAGAATATTTTATAATTTAAACAATGAGTACTTGATTTGAAATTTGAAAACAAAAATTATATTATTACATTTGAAAGTATCTTTACTGGCTGCTTTCTAAGTAATCAGTAATCTGTAATTGCAATAATTTTTGTGACCAAAATATAGTTAATTCAGGATCATTCCTTTGGATGTCCCAATAAGCCTAGAAATCTTAAGCTGTGTTGTTTTTGATCGATGTTTTTCAGAAATATTTCCATTGCTGAGTTAAAGTAGTAGTTAAAAATACTAAACTACTCAGTTATTCTTAAAACTATTAAGAAGTGTTCTCAAAGTTTTTAATAGTTTGATAAGTAATGTATTTTGCTTAACTTTAAACTTTGAGTTGTGTCTTCATTTTGTTTAAATTGTAAAGATGATACTTCAAAACTCGACAAACCAAAAGCAGATGAGGAAGGTGATGAAAATCAGGATGATAAAGACTACCATAGAAGTGACCCACAGATTGCTATCTGTCTAGATTGTTTACGAAATAATGGACAATCGGGGGACAATGTAGTAAAGGTGAGTATTTTTTAATATACCAGTTTACTAGTAAACCCTTGTTAATTTATTGAAGAATTTTCTAATTCTTTTTTTAAAAAAAACTTATTAACAAATCTAATAGAATGTCATTCTTGGCATTTGTTTGGTTTCCTCCTGCCTCAACTCCAAACCATCCTTGTCCAATCCTACCATCTAGTGGCTCATATGGAATATCACAGCTGTAGTTCTTTCATACTCTTGCTGTGAGTTTACATGCATTGTTTCTTCCTTTTCTCAGCTCATGTAATGTCATGTCAGGCAATGATTAACCTAACCCTTTTATTCATTATCTTTAAATATTGTCTTTCATTGTTTTACTTTTGTTTTCAATTCAGTAAACATCATGGCTAATATATTTATGAATAATATAATTAATTGATTTAAAAGTAGAATTGTGCAAAGTATTGTGAATGTTCAGATTCCTTAAAGGCTCTCTATTAGTTTTTATAGTATCTCCATTTCTGATCCTGTTAACTTCTCTCTGATTATTGAACCATTTTTTCTATGAATTGTATTCTTTTTTATATTATTATTATTTTAATGATGATGTACACATGGGTTACAGTTATGTAAGTCAGAGAACGAGTATATTTCTTTTTGAACAGTGTCACCTCTTCCCTCATTTTCTCATACTTTTCCCCCCAGATCCCTCTTCCCCACAAGTTGTAAATATCATTTTCAGTGTAGTGTCTAGTAAGTATCACTGTTACACTTGTCACACCATTTCTGTAGTCCCCTTACCCTCCCCCAAACAGATAAACATATACAAGACAAAATTACAGAAATAAAAAAACAGTGCCAAACAAGAAAAAAAGCAAAATAACACAAAACCTCATTTCCATTTCTTGTAGTTCATTTTGATAAATATCATTTTATATGATCATATGCCCAAAGCTATTGAAACTTTGTGATCCTTTCCTAAGAATATCCTCCTTGGTCTCACTGTGTGAATGTCTAGAGTCTTGTATAACTTACCATGTCCACTTATATTTTTTATCTTTTATCATCCAGTGTGTTTACTTGCAGATTTATAGGCACATTTTAGTTACTACAAATAAGGGAAGCCATGCTCCTTATGTTTTTGGGGGGGTCTAGCTTACTTCAGTTAATATAATTTTTCCAAGTCTTTTCATTTCTTACAAATGGGAAAATATCATTTGTTCTAATAGAAGCATAGAATTCTTGTGTGTGTGTGTGTGTGTGTGTGTGTGTGTGTGTGTGTGTGTGTGTGTGTGTGTGTTACATTTTCTTGAACCATCTATGTACTGAGGGGCATCTGGGTTCCCTATCTTGACTATGGTAAACAATGCTGCAATTTACATGGTTGTATTGGTGGCTTTATTATGGCCTGGTTTGTGGTCATTTGAGTAAATGTCCAGAAGTGAAATTGTTGAGTCATGGGGAAGCTCTATGTTTAATCTTTTTCTGTGTTTAGTCTTTTGTGAGACCTCCATACTGCTTTCCACAGTAGTTGAACAAGTTTACATTCCCACCAACAGTGTACTAGTGTTTTCTCTTTTGGCTACATCCCCACCAGCCCTTTTCTTAAAGGCTCTTTAAAACACACTACTCCCACCTACTGATTTTCTTTGGTGTTTACTACTTTAATAGTGGTTTTCTACCTATTAGGAAATGAAAACAAAATACTTTTTCATCAGATTAAGTCCTTTCAGTATCTTCCAACAAAGAATATATGTGAGCATGGTAATTCACTGAATGTTTATCCCTTATGTAAATATCAAACTATAATGATGTAGTTAGAGAAAAAAAGTAAAAAGCCATCATTCAAAGACCCCCCCTTACAGCCGGGCACCGGTGGCTCATGCCTGCAATTCTAGCTACTCAGGTGTCTAAGATATGAGGTTCACAGTTCAAAGCCATCCTGGGTAGGAAAGTAACATGAGACTCTTTATTTCCAATAAACCACCAGAAAACCAGAAGTGGCGCGGTGGCACAAGTGGTGGGGGGCTGGTCTTGAGCTGAAAAGCTGAGGAATAGCACCCAGGCCTAGAGTTCAGGCCCCACGACTGACCAAACCAAACCAAACAAAAACAAAGATCCTTTACACATATCAGCAAAAAATAATAATATAGTAAGATAATTGATTTGTTTAAGGGTGTTGGTTGGACAAGACATGTAATAAAGTCTTGTACCCAACTTTAAAGAACTGAGCATTACCAACTCATCTGTTGCTTTTTGTTTTGGTATGCTATCTCTCCCTTTTCATAAATGTTTTACTCAGATTTGGTGTTAACTGTTTGTCCCTGCTGTTCACCTTTGTGGTCATCCTCTAATACACAGACTGTTATGGAATAAAAGCTAAATCAATAAAAAGGCTGAAGATCTTTTAATAAATAAACATGAAATTTATTTCTCTGTATGATTTTTAGTACAAAAGTTAAGTACTGAATTAATTGGTTTCTTTCTTTATTTTTGAAATGTCTTACTATGTAGCTCAGGTTGCCTTCATACTTGCAGTCTTCTTACCTCAGTCTCCTATATGCTGGGATAAACAGGCAAACGCTCTCAGGCTGAGCTTTATAAGCTGCTGGAGCAGGAAGAAAATAGATAGGAAAGCCTAGGATAGTTAGGATATGTGACAGATAAGAGAGAAAAATGGATTTGTACATTCAGCCCATTGTTTTCATGCAGTCTTACATGTCTCCTTCACATTTGAAATGGTAGAGTGTATCTTTGCTCTAGATGTAATATTTTATGGGGGGCATGAACTTGCTAGGAAGGCACTCTACTTGAAGCCACCCTCCAGCCTGATTTGCTTTGCTATTTTTTGTGATAAAATGTTATGAACCATTTTACTCTGGCTGGAACCACAATCCTCCTGAGTTTAATCTCCCATGTAGCTGGAAGAGCAGGTGCAGACTACTCTGCCCTATTGGTTGAGAGGGGAACTCATGACCTTTTTGCCTGGACTAACCTTGTACTATGATCCTTTGATCTTTACCTCCTGAGTAGCTAGGATTAGGACCAGGCCCAGCTTTTTAGGTGTGTGTGTGTGTGTGTGTGTGTGTGTGTGTGTGTGTGTGTGTGTGTGTGTGTGTGTGTGTGTGTGTGAATTACAAGTGCAAGCAAGTGTCCAGCTAGAAGTAATTTTAAACCTATTTTCTTTTAATTCACCATTTGAATTGTGACGAAGTATCTGGATTTGTTTCTGTTAGTTTTTGTGAAGAAATACAATTTCCTAGGAAATAAACATTAACTTGTTCTACTTTTGACTTCCTATTCTTAAGAACAATAAGATGTTCCAGAGGTTAGGTTAGTTTGCTAAATTTAAGATTCTGTTGGAGTTTTTGTTTTATTTCAGATTGTTGAATGTAATTTTGTTTCACACGTTGGTACAACAACATGTGAAATAAGAGATAACATCAATATCTTGCATTTTGTCTCATTTTGTCTCATTCTGGATTAACTCTTGTATTTTAGTACAGTAATGTCCAAACTTGAAGAGTAAATTAGTACCTCTCTTCTCAATTGACACATCAGGACACACAGAACTTTGTTTTCTTATAGAGGAGGAAGTGCTGCTTCAGCCCAGTCCAGGAGCCTTATTTTCTTCTACATAAAGTCCACACTGCATAATTTTTGGTTGCTGAGGCTTGTTGCAGATTAACTGGCCCCTCTCTATTGGACCCTTAGGGCTCATCTGAGTTCTGCTTCAAATCATTTCTCTTGCCAGATTATTCAATAGTTACAGCATCATGTTTTAGAAAATGTCCATTACAGAGGTGACAATATGTAACAACATTTATGCATTTTGTCTACTTTCTTTTGTTATTCCTAAACTCATGTATGTTTTATGACAGTGTCTTAGAGAAAGGCACATTTTCAAGATTTTTCTAAGGTACATGATGGTGCGTCTTGAAAAATGTCATTGATTTTTTCCAGTAATTAGGGACATTTTCACTTATAAGTACTAAAAAGCTGTAAGTTGATGCTTACATTATGAAAATACTTGAACTGATAGTGAAAATAATACCTAAGGTTTAATTAAAACTAAGTTCTTTTATTTTTATTTTAATTAGGGTCTAATGAAGAAATTTATTCGATGTTCTACACGTGTAACTGTGGGAACTATTAAAAAGTTTCTAAGTTTAAAACTAAAACTTCCAAGTTCTTATGAGGTAAGTTAAATAATATCTACATACATGGTCATTTTGATAATTATGATTTGAAGTAAAATTGTAACAAGAAGTAAAAACTGAGGATATAGTCAATGTTTGTAAACTGATTATTTTCATGTTAAAATTGTAATTTTAAGGTGATACTTACATAATACGAACTTCTTAATATAGCCTATGAAAGTCAGGATGCTAATGCACTTGGTGTTATAAAATTAAAGGAAATATTTGAAGAACTTAATAGTATTCCTAAAACAAATATCCTAGTTAGATTCTCTTCGTTTTAATGCCAACATACTTTAGAGTATATCACTTTTTATCAGACTTTTTATATCAATTACTAATTTTGTAACTTAATCTTATTAGCATGTGAAAGTTTTTATTAGCATGTGAAAGGTTTTATTGTGATATATTTACATATACATAAAATTATTACCATTGGGGGGGGGGGTCATGGGCTTGAACTCAGGGCTGGGGCACTGTCTCTGAGCTTTTTCTCAAGGCTACAGCTATACCACTTTGAGCCACAGCTCCACTTCAGGTTTTTGAGTGGCTAGTTGGAGTCTCATGGACTTTTCTGTCCAGGCTGGCTTCAAATCATGATCCTCAGCTCAGCCTCCTGAATAGCTAGGATTACAGGCATGAGCCATTAACACCTGGCTAATTATTACCAATTCTGTATAGAATTCTTCAAAATGTAAAACAGTTTTCATAGGTGTTCATATTCATTCCATGTGTGCAAAAAGTTTGTTGGTTGGTCCTATGTAAAGCCTTTTTCATCTACACAAATACAGTTGTCCATTTTATCTATAGAAGAAGCAAATTGCTCTAATATAGATCACAGCAGAAACATTTCAGAAAATGTTTATGATCTTAGTGAAGAAACTAGTGACATAGTGATGAAATATGGCTGTCATTTCTCACCTGCCCAGATGACAAACTTAGAACTTGTATTAGCTTCCACTTCCTCCCCCTTGGTTTTAATAGTAGCATCTGAAATAGCAAAAACAAGATCTGGTTTTGTGTACAAAGAAAGATATCAAATGAAGCATAGTTCTTCTGGTATATCTGCAATGACATTAATGACTATGAATGTCAAGAATAGACATCATAAGAGAAATAGTATTTGAACAAAGGCATTGGCAGAGAAGAAGCCTATGTGTAAGGAAACATCTCTATTTTGAACTTAACATTTCTCTCAGATAACTAATTAGTCTGGTTTAAAATTTTTGTTATGATTTGTGCCTACAAATTTAAAAAGATTCCAGAGACATCACAGATTTTTATATTAGAAAAAAAACGTGAAAAATAGCACAGCTTAATGTAAGTAAAAAAGTAAGAACCCTTGCTTCTTTGCTTGTGAATTTATAGATAAGAAAAAGAAAAAGAAGTTATTCACTGCTTTTAAGAGTTATTAAAACAATTTTGAAATTCATATGCAGCATAAATCATCAGAAGATCAATAATTTCATATATCTGATACAATTAGGATGCTATTCATTTTAGACTTAAAAGTTCAAAACTGTAATTCTGTCAGCCAGATCCAGAATAACTTAAAACTTATTTTTTTTTCCTTCTCCACACTTCAAATGAAATTTTGCCAGTTACTTTGAATAACTGGAGTACTGCAATATTGTTTTATTTATGGGAATTTATGATAAACATTTGCTAAATATGCTTTGTCAAATTAGTGAACTGTAAACAAAGTGTCTGTAGCCTTCTTAAAGATTTGTTTGGTACTCATAACTGAGAGCAAAGTGGCATTTTATAAGTACAACGTTTTTGAGGTTCTATACAAGGTGGGAAGAGGGTCCTCTAAGTATTGTGTAAGCAAGCTAGGGAGACCACTTAGTCTAGAATATACAGACCTGTACATTCTGCTAAATGTCTGCTAGTAACTACTGAACGTTTTTATGTGTCTGTCTCAAAGGCTGCATAAACCACCATATCCTTACTCATTATCCTCTTTGGACTCAAACTAATGAGAAAAATTCCATCTTGGGAAGTCAAAAAAATTCTAGCAAATAAATTCAGAAGCCAAAAGAACTGTGAGGAACTGTGAGCTTACTATAGTCTACTAATTAAGTAAGGGGCAGTCCCAGCCATAATTCATGGCTAAAATTTGAAGGCTATCCTAAGACGTGAACTTTGATACTGCACTTATAAGTTAGGTAGATGAACTTTAAGTGTGTATGGGAAAATAATGCTTCATGTTACTTAAACCTAAATTGTTAATCTGGGAAAAAGAAACATATTTCCAATATTACTTACAATAATGTACTAATGTCGTACTATTTGGATTTTTAAAATTTTTAAAAATGCATGATACCAGTAAATTCAAAATTACTTATGTTAATATAACTATTCTTTTTAAAGTTGGATGTGCTGTGCAATGGTGAAATTATGGGAAAGGATCATACTATGGAATTCATCTATATGACAAGATGGCGACTGAGAGGAGAAAACGTAAATTGCCTTTTTACTTATATTATTTGAATAGAATTATATATGTGCCACTTATGTATGCTAATTATATATGTATATATGTATATGTGTGTATACATATATATATATATATATATATAAAACAACTATTAAAAGCAAAGTAAAAATAACATAAAGTGAACATGCTTAAAAGAAGAAACTGCTTCCCTGGTTTCTCCCAGTACCCTGAAAATTGGTCCAAGTACAATTGGTCCAGTAAGTATGGTTTTGTTTTGTGAAGGTAAATTTGAAGTATATCAAAATATGTTCAGGATTCTGCTAACATCAAGGCAGAGAAGATGACACATCTCTTTAATGCCCTATAACTAATAAAAACTTAAAAGACTATGGAATGGCAGGTGTGTGTTGGGGGGGGTGGTGCAGGGACACTTAAGTTCTATTCTGGTTAATACCACAAATGGTTTGTAGGAGAATTCTTATTTGGGGCTGTGACATTGAACACAGATGAGATAGAGGTCAGGATCATCTTTTTTTCAGGTACCTCTTTTACATCGAAAAGTTTAAAATGTAAAATTAGGCTGAAGGGTAAGTGAACTTACAGGAGTTTCTGACGCAGATTTGGTTTATTCCTTTAGGTCCTAGCAATGTGGAAGAAATTATTCAAAGGAGAAAAGCTATTTTAAAAGAGAATTTTTTGTACTTTAAACTATATCTGTAATCAGGATAATTCTAAGTTTGCTTATACTTGACTTAGGTACATGAGATGTTAGAGAAATTTGAGGCACAGGTATTGTATGATTTACATATACCAGGAGTAAGGAATACTGTAGGAATGTTGCTAAAATTTTTCCTCGTGATCTGAGTGCATGAATAAATCTTACTGATGATTGGTTAGAAAGTCAAACTAGAGAACTTTCAAGTTTACTTTATTAGACCTTAGGATGCTGTTGTTCTTATGGTACAATGGGTCATAGCTTAAACTCTAAATTTTGTTTTTGGCTTCTATTTCTTATCTTCACTGTTACATATCCATACATTTTATACTCTAATTTGATGATCCTGTTTAGTAAACTTTTTTAGTACATCTTGGAAAGGTACATTGAAATATCACACAAAATTAAGAAATATTACCTCCCATAACAATAGATAGTGTAGAATATAGATAAAATGAGGGCTGCCTTGTTTAATAGTTCAAAAACATACTTACATTGAATGTTAACATTTGTAGGACTATTACAAAATAAACCACAAAACTTTTATGTTACTCTGGTAAAATATTTGATTACTTTTCAGAAGAAATGTCCTGATTTATGTAATAATAATAATAATAAGGCACCTAACACTTCAGTTTTTTCTCCCTGTATGATTCTCCTGTGGGTAAAGACTTTCTTGTGAGGCTGAATGCTTTATCCCCTAGCAAGACCAGGAAGGAAGTTGTGTTCTAGTATCTGTCACCAACTAGTTGAATGTTCTAAAGATCTCATCAAATCATTTTTTAGGGTTTTGTTTTGTTTTGCTTTTATATAATTGTCAGCCGGCTGCTGGTGGCTCATGCCTGTGATTCTAGCTACTCAGGAGACAGATCTGAGGATTGCAGTTCAAAACTAGCCAGAATAATCTGGAAGTGGAGCTGTTGCTCCAGTAGTGGAGTATTAGCCTTGATCAAAAAGAAGCTCAGGGACAGCACCCAGGCCCTGAGTTCAAGCCTCAGGACCAGCAAAAAAATATATGTGTGTATGTAATTATATCTATGTATATTAAATATACATAGATATTTGTCTTTGTATTTGGTAAATATGTCTTATTTTATTTTTACTAAGGGTTGTATATGTATTACTCTCATTTAATATTTACAATCAAAATATTTCAGGTACAAATTGCAGAGAGTGAACTTGGTGTCCTTGGGAGAATGGATATTTCAATATTACACATCTGATTAACATTGTAGTGAATGTAATTTTAGCTTTCTTTGATAGCATTTCAATATACTTTGCTGGAAATCACTATGAATAGGTTTGCCTAAATTTCAAGAGATAAAAATAGTCATCTCTGTGACCTCTGTCAGGACTCACCTGTCCTTCTCAAGATCCCTGCTGAAAAATTACCCACACTGTGTTATTTTACTGTCAAAGCAATGAAACACTAATTTATAGAATTTTTCTATCAATAGAATATCAGCTAACTCATCTGTTACTGTGATTGCTTTTCTGATCACATATTTATGAATAATTTCAATTCTGTTTCTTGGGGGGAGATACTTTATTAGTTAAAAAACTAGCTCAGTAATTATAAGATCATTATAAATCTTATGCTTTATCATCCAAGTAGAAACTGTACTAAGAAAAATTACTAGCTCTTACACTGAATCTGTTTTTGGATGTCAACTTCCACTCCTCATTGGTCCAGTCTTCCAAGTCCCAGAAGTGTTGAGATTGGTTGCTCCAGGCTGGGGCGTGGCTCAAGTGACATAGCACCTGCCTAACAAACCCAAGATCCTGAGTACTACCAGAGGTGGGAGAGGGGAGACCAAGAGAAGAGAGGAAGAGGGATAGGGGAAGGAGAAGAGAGGGTCCAGATACTATAATCACAATCTTAACACTCTGGTCCCAGCCACCCTGAAGTCTCCTTTTGGGTCCATCCTTCCTTACCAGCTCTCCATTCTCTGTTCTACAGTCAGAAGACATGTTACTACTCTGCCCCAATCTCAGTAGAGTTCACTATCACTTAGCTAAAAACTGAAGTCCTGCCAGCTAGAAGGCTGAAACCTGGAGTATCAGCCTGGGCAGAAAGGCTTGAAGATTCCATCTCTCCAATTAACCAGTAAAATGCTGTACTAGCAGAATGGCTCAATTGGTAGAGCACCAGCTGTGAGCAAAGAGGGAAGTGAAAGCATAAGGCCTGGTATCATACATATAACATTGCACAGATAGTGTTTTCCCTCTCTCCATCTCCCTCCTCTTTCTCTCTTGCCATGTCCTCCTCCTCTCTCCCTCCCTCCCTCTCTCTCCTCTTTTTTCTCCTCTCTCCTCTTTCTCCCTTCTCTCTCCTACTCTCTCCCTTTCTCCCCTCTTTCTCCCTCTCTTTCCCCTCTCTTTCTTCTCTCTCCCTTCCTTCCCTCTCTTTTCTCCTCTCTCCTCTTCTCCTCTCCCTTGGCTTATGTTCTCCAGCAACAGTGGTCTTTGGGCTTTCTCAAGTATGCCTTGCTTGCACTGCCTTCCCTGAGTTATTCATCCAGCCAGCTTGCTGTGCCCCTTCACTTAAGTAATTGTGCTTCTCAAGAAGGTCTCTGATGTCCCTTCCTACCAGCATCCTTAATTCCTTTCCATGTCTCTTTGTTTCCCACAGTGTGTTGTACTATATGACACATTATGCCTCTGAGTTATATGTTTATTATGTGTCCCCCAACTAAAATTTTCACTTGTTCACTCTTGAATCTCTAGCAGCTAGAGCCTGCCCAGAATAAATGTGTACTATATTTCAAAAGTAGATTTAAGCCAGGTACTGATGGCTCTTGCCTGTAATCCTGCTACTCAGGAGGTTGAGATCTGAGGGTTGTGTTTCAAAGCCAGCCCAGGCAAGAAAGTCCATGAGACTCTTATCTCCAGTTACCCTCAGAAATCCAGAAGTAGTGCTGTGGCCCAAAGTAGTAGGGTGCTAGCCTTGAGCAGAAGAGCTCAGGGGCAGCACCCAGGCCTGGTATTCAAATCCCACAATCGACAAAAAAAAAAAAAGTAGATTTAGTGGAAATTTTCTGTTTGAAAGTACTACATAATTACACAAAACATAGCCTAAAGACAATTTCCTTCATTTGAATCTCAGTTTTTTCATTACTTCTGTTAATCTTCTTTTGAATTCTGGCTCAGGTTCTAGTAAGTACAGATTATTATGTTGCATGAGACTGACAGAGGCTTTAACATGGACAAATGCAGCAGTAGTAGTAAAGCAATCTTATTTCTTAGGTACGTAACTGCTAGCGTATTTGTGTGATCTCATCTTTTCCCACCCCTGCCATCAAGTAACTAGAATGTTGTCTACCTATAGGCATTGCTGACTAACTCTGCCTGGGCTTTGGTTGGCTAGTTTCCTAAATTTATGATCATGTCTATTACTTTGTTTTTCCTCTAGTACTTTTTATCTTAAACATTTTAACCCACCTGAGATTGATTTCTTTTCACGTATATTCATAGCAATAACTCTTAATTTGTCCTAGTGACTTTTTAATCAGAAATACAATTTATTGAATTGTTCCATACTTTACCTTCAAGGTTTTGAGATGTCATCATTATCTATAAATGTCATATATACATATATGTGTATATGCATATACACATATGTATGTCTCTGGACATTTTATTTTATTATTTTGAGCAGGGATTACTCTGAACTAGCATTATATATTATAGCATTTATGAAAATTGTCCATTTTAACATGTGAAAATTAACATGTCTTATGAAGAAAATATTTGTGCCTTTTCAGTTGAGTCATCATGTGTATTATGTATTATTAATTAGTATTGCTATCAGCGTCTATTAGTATTAGTGCCTATTCGGAAAAAACTCACTATAATTATTAACTGGGCATTTTCACTCATTCTCCTAGATTCATCTTTGGCTGTTTGAGTTTGGTTGGTTTATTGTTATTATTGTTTTTCATTTGTGGCTTTTTCTTTTTTGAGACAAGGTCTCACTATGCATCGCAGGCTAGCCTTGAACTCAACAATCCTTACACCCAAGCCTCCCTGGATGAATCAACACGTCTACTTTCAGATGTGTTTTTTAATGGGATTGTGATTGTGTTGCAATATAAGTCTACGTTGCTTTGGCTTGGAATTGACATTTTTGCAGTTTTTCGTATTATTCAGTTCTGTGCACTGTCTCCTCTCCTGTTCTACACTGTCTTCAGCTATGACTGAGTAAACCTGCAGTTTTCTCTCCTCATTGTTTTGGGTACCACCACTACCCTATGGGTCTTTTGCCTCAGACAAGGCTGCTCCATGTTTAGATCTTTCCTTTTCCTATTTGAGAATCCCCCGGGGAATTAGTTTTGCTCCCAGTTCTCCAGTAATGAAGCATCTGTCCTGTACCATCTAGCTTCTGTGTCACTGTTTTCTTTTATCCTAGGGTAGTTCCACTGTGGGTTTAGCAGCTTTTCTATGGACTCCCTGCCCTATCTGGACCCACTCTATCATGATACAACTCTGAAAAATCTTTTCTTTAGGAATCAAAACAGGGAGATATTTTTAGTTCATAACTATTGCCATTTCAATATTCTTAAGCTCGAGGTTGTTACTGACTTATTGCTTATTAGTAGGAGAGAGAGAAAAATAACTAATATAGCATTTCTCACCACAGGCTGGTGGTTCAAGCCTGTAATCCTGGCTACTCAGGAGGCTGAGATCTGAGGATCAAGGTTGGAAGCCAGACTACGCAGGAAAATGTGTGAAATGCTCATCTCCAATTAACCACCAGAAAATCAGAAGTGGATTTGTGGCTGAAAGTGATAAAGCACTAGCCTTGAGCAAAAAAGCTTAGGGACAGCGCCAGGCCCTAAATTCAAGCCCATGACCAAACCAAAAAAAAAAAAAAAAAGTATTTTTCAAACTTTAATGCAAATATAAGTCATTTGAGAATTCTGGTAAAGTAAAATTCTGACTCAGTAGGTCTGGATAAGCCCATCAGTCTGCATTTCTAGCAAATTCCCCAGGATCTTTGGGCATCCTTTGAATAACAGAGTTTTAGGAAGCATGGTGGGTCACTACTGACTTCCTCTGACTTGTGCAGCTACATAATTAGAGTGTGGGATTACAAAAAAATCAGATCCCACTTTGGTACGGATTCTTGATAAGGGAGATTAGCAGAAAATAAAGAAAGGTTGGGAAGGAAGGATAGAAGGAAGGAAGGACTGTCTCTTTTCTTCTTAACTCTGTATTCCTATTGCATGTTTTTTGCAGCTTTATAGTTAGGCAAACTCTGATGGGCCAGAGATGGGGGACTCTTCCAAGAGAGTGGAAAAGGTCACTAAAGATCGCTGTTGAGCATGCCTTACAGCATGTGGATGAGCACTGGACACAAAAATCAAGGGCTAACATCTAGGCAAAAAATTGTTGAAGTATTTTCGAGAAAAGGAAAATGTCGTATGCTATTTCAGCATATATCTTTTAAACTCTAGTAACTTAGAAATTTCCTGGTTAATTTACAGCTCACTTTTTTAATGCATTTAATTTTTCATTGTTGTTTTTTCCAGTTTGAAGATCATGAAAATTTTTAAAAATATAAATGTAACATTTTGTAGTCCATTATAATTAAATCAACACAAGTGCAGTATATTTTAAAAAATCAGAATTAGGGTTAATTCTTTAAATGTGAGGTAGTTTAATTATTAAAAGGCAGTGAATTTGCAAATGAAACTTCCTAGTATGTTTAACATAGTAGTTTTAACTCATTGACTTACTTAGAAAATGTTCATGGAATGGCTACCATGTGCTAGTTCTGGGCCTTAATAAAATTACATGAATATGGAATAGATTCCAGGAACTTACAATGTAATTCTATTATAATTAATATGGAGACTAAGAATTGAATCTGAGCACTATCCCTCATAGGATGAGTGAACTTGATGCTCACCCATAGCTCTGATCTTGAACAGTACTCTTTCATGGGTCATTTGGGGAAACCTAGGAGAGACTGATATCAAGAAGGGATAGGAGAAAGAAGGGTCCCCATGTACTAATAGGTGAGGATTTCCCAAGAAGTGATATTTGACAAAGAAATGGAAAGACCAAGCCACTCTTTTGGTATTTGCAGAGCATTAAATAAACCCATAGATAGATGCTAAAATTAGTTCAACCCATCTATTTTTTCAAAAACATAAAACAAACAAGCCCTGCCATTTTCTCAAAGTGTTATTTAAAATTAATCATGTTAACTCTTATGTTTGACATTGAACTATTTTAAATAATCAGTTTTAAATATGTGTCCAGTTGTGGATGCCTCTTATCTGATGAGTTCGTCTCCTCCGCAGTTTCGGTGTCTGAACTGCTCAGCTTCGCAAGTCTGCTCTCAGGATGGCCCTTTGTATCAGGTAAGAGGCACTCACGACGGTACATATGCCCGTCCCCATGCCTGCAGTGACTGCTCTCTCCCCAAACTTGAGCTCCTCAGGCATGTCACTTGGTAAAACTAATGTCAGTTTTATTTATTTTTCAAAATTTAAATACTCATAAGTTTCCCATTATTTTGATTATCCTGAATTGACTCGTTAATTGTACTGAACTAAAAAAATGAAATTATATGTAATAAATCCATTACTTATGCGTCAGGAACTTATAGTAATTACTAAGTTCAGTCCCAGAGAAATCTCTGAGCCATATTGGATTAGGTTATCTTCTTTGTGTAAATACTTTTCAAGTGAGTCACTCCTCTGTCAGAGTCAGATGAAATGCTAGATTAGTTAGCTCTAAGTAGCAGCAGGAGATATAAGCCCTAAGTGACTTGTGCCTCTTAAAAATAAAATGACAATGAGCTATTTAGTGATATACCAGGAAAATCTGAATATGTGTCTAAGGAAAGTTTTATCTAATAAAAATGCATTATTATTTGGAAAGATGAGGCTAAAAACAGTATAGTAAGGATCATTGTTTGGTACAGAGATGATCTATACACAACCTAATCTCTGCAGGCTATACACATACAGTATAAATCATTTGATGAATAACTAGACAGTCACCAAGTTTCTCAGTAAGCTTCTTTTTGAATGGTCTGGTTTTATTTGTTTTGCATGGTCCCTGAATGATGTTATAAATACACAAATGACTTTTGGCAGAAAATAAGATTCCTACCCCTGCTATCCCTTGTTCCTCTTATTCCAGAAATTAAAATAGTCCTTGTCCTATTTTCTTGTAGCCAATAAGAAATTGTGAAACAGTTTAATTAGTAAGTAAACTTCAGTGTTGTGATTTGGAGATTGGAAAAAAATTTAATCTGTTTTAGAATTAAAAGAGTACTTCAATTAATCAAAAAATTACCATTTTATCTAAAATTTCTTTCAATATTTTGGTCATTTGAGAATGTATCGTTAAAATGACAGCCTTTTGGTATATAATATTTAAGTCTTAGTTTCTTTGAAATGGAGTAAGCTAATATAAGAACTACAAAAGCAAAGAAAAAAATCATTTAGGAAAGTGTATTATCCTTTTTGCATTACACGGATAAGGGCAAAGGGTAAGCAGTAATTTAGTAGAGCTAGTGACATTCATAAAATTTGAAGCAAATACATACTTCAACTGTAAGCTTCATGCCTGGTTTGTGGATGGTGAATCATACTGACAAACCCATGCATAGGTGGGTAGTGGAATAAAAATGTTCTTAAACTCTGATCCTAAATTTTAAAGAACTAGATTAAAGAACTAGATTTAAAGAACTTACCCTGATTTCCTTTTTTTGTTTTCAACAATTTTTATGGATAATAGTCTTGTAAGAAAATTGACTTAGCATTCTTCCAAATTTATTTCACAAAGACAATTTAAGTATGATAGCAAAAACTAAGGGATTCTCAATTAGAAAACTAGTGCTAAATTTCATTATGGATGTAATGCAAGATGGTTAATAATACGCTAACATACTAAAAGAATAACAAGGGTTGGAGGTATTGCTCGGATAGAGAGCACCAGCCAGTAAGCAAAAGCAAACATCAGATAGCAAGTTCAAGTTCTATTATCAGACAACAAGTAATGATAATAACAAACCAAGACCTAGTACAGTTTTTATCAGAAATGCTAGAACAGCTTGATTTTGTGCAAAGATAGTGGTAGTTCGGTAGACAGGCAGACACAGGCCCATGTTTTATTTACACACAGTGAAAACCAACAGTAGATATTGAAAAGGCACTTGATAAAACTCAATGTTAAGTACTGATTTTTCTCTATCAGCTTCTTATTTTGAAGTTTTTTGGATCAACAACAACAAATGATTGAAACAGTTATTTCAAGAAATATTTTTGACTGGAGTATTTAACATTTCACTACATTTTCTCTTCCTCTTGCCATTTCCTTCTTTTATTATGTTCTTTATATGCATCTGGATTGGGGGTTTTTTTGTGGAACAATTTAAAAATAAATCACATACCAGGAAAACTGACCAGTAGTTATTTTAGCATGTATTTCCTAAGAACAAAGGCCTACTTGTGTGTATGCAAAATTCTACTTCACACATAAGAAATTTAAAGAGTATATTGAACAGGATAGCAATGTTAGTTCTCCTCACGATTAAATTATGAAGTTAAATGTAAATCCAAACACACTTTTACCAGATTCTTGTTTGACCTGAAAAAAGTCATTCTAAAGATCATCAGGAAAGACATTTTTAAAGTGATTGATAAGTAGACACAAGCACCACCAGATACTAAACTGTGTTATTATAGTTAGAAATCAGGTTCTAACTTACATGTAGAAATATGAGGATAAAGAATAGCTCAGTAGATATACGAGGATAAAGAATAGTCCAGTGATACCTCTAATAGGAATACCTCTAATGTACATATGAATCTGTAAAGATAGTATTTCACATTAATGGAGAAAAAAATTCATTTAACAAGTACTGGTCCACCTTTCTAGTACAAGGATATAGAAGTAAAAATGAGCACAAGTCTTTTATCTTGTGGAACTTACACTCTGGCTGTAGCAGACAAAAATCAGGCAAGTAAATTTTAATGTTGGAAGAAAATATAAAGTAGACAAATAGTTTGTAAGGTAACCAAAGGAAGCCTCCCTGTTGGATATATGGTGTGTTTTGGTCACAAGGAAGTGAGAGATGTAGCTATGTTAATATGTGGTGTAGGGCACTTAAGAAAACAACTCTGCAGAGGCGCTCAGCTGTAGGTTTTTCTGATTGTTGGAGAATGGCAAGGAGGCCAGGGATGGAAGACAACATAAAAAAAAATTTTTAAAAAGGCAATTCTGAGCTTGTTTTCATGAATTGTACCAAAACTGTGGCAACCAATGCCTCATTTAAGTATAAGTTTCTGTTCGTTTAAAGTAGTATATATTAAAAGTGAAATCATAACAGCAAGAAAATATAGTTGAGGAACTGATTTTGTAGTGGGCATGGTCTTTCACTTTTAGTTTAGTGTAAAAGAAAAGACTGAATTACTGGTTCATATTGATAGGCACCAAGTAAGAATCTCATAAGTAGATATTTACAGCATATGTTAGATTGATGTTGTTAATACATGAGGAATTTGTTTAAATCTATAAGACAAGCCTAACTTTGCACAGAAAAAATGAACAGCATGTGACCAAGTAAGTTAACCCTCCTCCCCATTAAAAGTGGAATGCAATTGGCTAATAAGCATATATAAATGATGAATGTCTTTAGAAATCAAAAATGAAAAAAATAAAATACCATTTTCTCTATTAAGTTGCCAAATTAAGAGGAGTGTGATAATAGTACTTATTATTGACAAGGCACTAGAGTAGCAGGCACTCATACAAAAAAAAATTCTTGAAGACCAGTGCAGCAGTGTTTATTTAAAAACCTCTATAAATGTGTCTGTTGCTTGAACTAGTAGTTCCTCTTGATCTTTGGGCCAAAATCAACTTATGAAAAATAGAATAAATTCAAATAGACTGCAAAAAGAGATAGTCAACTTATGGTTCGTTTAACAGTGTAATATGCAGCCATTAAAAACCTTTTATGTGAACTTTAAAACATAATATATGTATGTAACCTATTTACATTCTATTGCTTAAAAATTGCATTATCTATTATAAATAATTTACCTGCAAAAAATAATACATTAAATGGTATAGAAATACAAGTGTGGAATTTCAAGTGGACTACTTATTTGCCAAGGACTATGGTTGTTAGCATGATTCCAGTTTTTTTTTTAATTTGTTTAAATAAAAGGGCTAGAAGGACCTGGATGTCAGGGTACATGCCTATGGTTCAACTGTTCTGAAGGTGGTTAGGGGCCTGCCTGGACAAAGTTAGTATGAAACTCTAAAGAACAAACTAGAAGCAAAAGTCTATCACTAAAGATACCTGTAATATTTCCTAAAATTGTTATATTTGAAAATCTCTTGGTTTTTATTACACAATGAGATTTTTTAGGACTAAGAAACTCTATGAAATGTAGGTCCATTCAGTACAATCACTTAACACAGAGATAGTAATATGCGTATTCCACCATAGTAAATGTTGTTCATTTACTTCAGAAAGCAACTAAAAAGCAAATAGAACTTGAAGTATATCTTAAGAGGTTTTAGTATTCTGCCACATTTCAGTAAAATTAAACCTAACCCATAGAACAAACACAGATTGTTTCTTGGAAGAAAAAAAAAAATCAAATTATCTTACTCAAAAACTGAGAAAATTCCAGCCAATGACAGCCAAGTCATTTGACTTCTTTCTTTCATGTGTAATGGGAGGTAGATATTTCCATGTATATGATTTATATTTTCTAACACAAGTTATACCTGTGGGTTGGAGAGAGCTGGAATGGTTAATGGTGAAGTTATATTAAGTTATAGCTGCTAGTGGTCTGAGATAAATGAGCTTCAGAAACACACAGAGAGTATTATAAAATGCAGAATTTTTTGTATGTACCTTTCTTCCACATAATCTGATTCTGCAGGAGCAGAATAAAATTAATAAAATTAAAACCAGAATAATTTAAGATAATGGAGACCACGAGAGAAAGACTTTTTTTTCTGTACCCCTTAAAAAGCTAGTAGTGGCACCTTCCTTCAGTTGGCAGAGCTCAACCTGGGATGTGATTATTCCTACCCTCCAGTCCTGTCCTGAGCTGAAACATTGAGTTGTAAATTCAGTATGCAAATTCAAGATTTTAGAATCTCAGTGTGACCCTTTTAACTACATGAAAGAATTGGAAATTCACCCTACTAAATTTCTGTGTTCACCTACACTAAGATAAAGATGTATTAGTCAGGGGCTATCTGAGTCCATTTTTACTTGTTTGTTTTGCTGGTCTGGGGGCCTAAATTCGGGGCCTGGTCACTGTCCCTGAGCTTTTGTACTCAAGGCTAGTGCTCTACCACTTGAGCCATAGCTCTACTCCTGGTTTTTGGGTAGTTAATTGAAGATGAGTCTCACAGACTTTCCTGCCTGGGCTGGCTTTGAACCACTCCTCAGCCTCCTGAGTAGTTAGGATTACAGGCATGGGCCACTGGCGCCTGCCTGAGCCCATTTTTAATGAGCCAGATTTTTATATGGTCATTTCATGTATTTGACCTACTCTTTGACAACATCCTTGGCCTGAATGATTTTGCCATAATCCTTAAACACTTCACAACTACAACACTTCATAGTCTTTTCTCTCAACTATTTCTGCACAGATCTACCCAAGCCCTTAATTTCTTCTTGTCATCAAACTTTATTAGGTAATTTGGAACTCAGAAAAAGGCCTCTACAAACTTGATATATGTAGACTCATGACAGTTCCACGTATGAACATAAAGATGATCTTGGGCCTGCACCAGTGGTTCATACCTATAATCCAAGCTCCTCAGGAGATTTAGATCAGGAGGATCACAAGTTTGAAGCCAACCCAAACAGAAAAGTCCATTGATACTTTATGTCCAAAATAACAAGGAAAAAAGCTGGGCTGGAGACCTGGCTCAAGTGGCAGAACACCAACCAACACTAAACTTGAGCTCAGAACCAGGGAAGGAGCGGATGATCTTGGTGCTCGTCCATGGCTCTAGCAGTTTTGTGAATTCCAAGTGCTAGGAGAGAGAGAGCATGGATTGGTCTTCAGCTCCTCTCGTAAAGCAGTATTTGTACTTATTTTACCTCCAGAAGTAATGCCTTGCTCTGTTATGGTGGTGGATCACTATGCAGTGAGCAAAGCCAAATCTTGAACACACTGGAGCTTTCAAGCAACTCAGTGACATCAGGGGAAGAGATCAGCCTTTTTTTGGGGGGGGAGGGGGTCCGGTCGTCGGGCCTGAACTCTGGGCCTTGGGCGCTGTCCCTCAACTCTTCAGCTCAAGGCTAGCGCTCTACCACTTGAGCCACAGCGCCACTTCCAGCTTTTTTTTTTTTTTTTTTTTTTTGCTTATGTGGTGCTGAGGAATCGAACCTAGGGCCTCATGCGTGCAAGGCAAGTGCTCTACCACTGAGCCACCTTCCCAGCCCTTAGCCTTTTTCTTAATACCAGAAAAGCTCCTTGAAACTGATTTTAAAACGGGAACCTGCAGCTTTAAGCAAAGGAAAATGATGGCTTCTCCAGACTCTTTCTGACTGATACCTGGTTTGCATAGGAAAGGGAAAACAAAGGTCAAAATAAATGCACAGGTGGCATGACATAGACCTTCTAGGAAATTGTTTCCTCTTAGGTTCTTTATAGTAGCCATGTGCCTGGTACCTTTTAATTATACTGTGTAAGAGATCTCAGTATTTAATGGCATCAACTGTCTATTGAAAGGAGGCAAGGACCTAAACATTTCATGTAACAGTTACTTGTATTCTAATTCTTTAAAAGACCATTGAAATAAATTTTAGTGCTAAAAAGAATTGTAAGCATGGTAGCTTGTGCAGACTCCAGTTTCACAGATTCAAAAATGGGTCTCTTGTGAATGTGTCAGTAGTTCTCACCAGCCCTGGAGAATCCAGCAAGCCATATCCTTGTTAAACCTGAAAGGAGTGCACATAGCCTTTCTCTAAGGAATACCTTGGTCACATACTCTGTAGGCATTTGAACTTTGATCTCTATTGTATATTAGTGAAGACTTGACTGATTCAAGAAAAGTAATGGCAATCAGAAGAAATAATGTTAAAAGTGATACCTTTACATTTTAAATGACACCTTACTATCGAAATCACTACCAGTACCTGGGAATATAATAAATTAGAACCTCAAACTCTAAAAAGAATATTTAAAAGGTATTACCTTTTGTATGTAAATCATATTGCTTTTATGTTAACATAGTCTGTTCACTATTTTTATTTTATAGTCATACCCTATGGTATTGCAGTATCGACCAAGAATTGATTTCGGTTAGACCAAGGGGCCTAGATTTGACTGAAATGAATCCTGCACTATTTGTTTACTCGTCGACAGATTGCACAGTGAAAAAACGGTGTGTGGACTGGAGGGACACAATCAGATTTTTGGCATGCAAATAAGGCCATTGTCTATCTCTGTAAGTTGTCAGTTGCATTCATGTTTCTATTAAATGCAAACCAAGTGCCATTCTGCTACTGAACCATCTGTGTAAGGTATTTGTGTTGTCTCACAGTGTGCCAGTCATGACTGAAATCAGACAGATGTGCAGCCATGATTCAGCCTTCTGAATATTTTGCTTTGACCGTTCCAAGATTGTTCTAATGTTTAATTACACTAGTAAAATGGCTCAGTCTTTGTGGTGTTGCAATTTTCACATACTTAACTATTTTATTAATTCTTGTTTAAATAGAGTACTGTACAGGAACCTACTAATTATACCTGGAAATTATTTTGTATGGGAATACATTAAGAAAAGTGGTTTCTAAGCCACTACCCTATTCTTGGAAGCTTTTCATGTAAAAAAGTAGTTTATTCTTGAGTGTACAAGTCCCTTTGTGAAGAATCCCAATTATTCCTGAGATCACATCATTATTGTACACATTCTAAGCTTCTCTGTGTGTAGTCTACCAATTGCACAAGGAAGGCCCGTTAGCCCTCCAGGTAGAAAATGGGGTGTGACTTCTTATACACTTGAAGATAGATTCACAACCATTTGAATTGTTGGCAGCTGATTACATTGTAGGTAAGGTTAATCTTTCATAATGCCTTATGACAAGTGGGTGCGTCGCCATGCACCTCACTGTAAGCCTGTTTTATAGGTGTGTCGTTACACTGTTGCTGTCGTTTAATGAATATCTTGTTTTTAAGTTGGCCTTAGATGTGTGTCCTTGTGGCATCCAGAAGGTGATATATGAGGGTTTTCAAATATTAGGATTTTTAGAGCAGATAACATTAGCTATTTTGTGGATTTCAAAAGTCTCAACGCAGTTGTAGATTAAACTTGTTACCTATCACATTTCCAAACCAGATGCATAAAATAGAATAATTTGCAGCATAGTAGATGAATATGCTAGCCAAAATTAATGGTTTGGTGGTACTTTATTTTAGATACTGTAGTAATCAGGGGAAAGTGGGATTGTTGTTTTATATATGGCTTCATTAAATGTCAGAGCTATGATAATGTCCTTGATTTTGCTAAGTCTTTCATTCATTTTGAAATTAGTCTGCAAGCCAAAGTATGGTTATTTTCAATTACATGAAAAACTTCATTATAAACCTCTTAAAATGTGCAGTTGTTTTCAAAGACCTCTTTGAAAATTGCTCTATCCATTTTTTGAAACAAGTTAACCTCTGAAACTTAGAAAAGAGTCTTGGAAATGAGAAATGAAAACTATTTGCTTTAGAAATCTGACATGAGCGCAGTGACACTGCATACCTGGCTATAGGCTATGTTCTAGAATAAAATGTATCACAGAGTAATGCCTTCTGATATCAAGATGCTTCATAGAAATAAAACATTGTAAAACATACACATGCAGCTCAATTTTGATGTATTTTGTAATATAAAATGCTGAAAGTTTGGAAGTATCTTTTCTGAATTGAACAATTCAGAAAAATTTGAAGTTTTCTGTTCTGATGTCTGTGAAGGTTATGGCAGTACTTCTGAAACTCACTTTGCTAAACTGTGTGTTCTTGAAAGGGTTCACAAACAAAATTGAAAAGGCAAATTTTAACTCTTTAAAACTGAATTCTTTGCTTTAAAATTTTATTTTGCTGTGAAACCTAGTTCCTAGATATTCCTAAGAATTTTAAGTTATTATCATTTGTCACTATCATATAAAATCGTGTTTTACATATGGAAGTTAATTTTAATTGAACTGCAAACGAGCTAAGTACATTCTGAAAACTGAGAGTATGTTTTAGGTACCTGGCTCCCTTGCCAATACCTTGCCAAAGCCTGTGGACATAAATGAGTTTTGCATCTAAGATCATTTGAAATTTAGTCTGTTTGCCCAATCACATGTAACTCCACTATTTTCCAAGGGAATATATAGGAAAGAATTCTGGAATTAAGAAGAGTTTATATAATTTACTTCATTTAATGTTAATAACATGTTATTGAAGTGCAATGGAATATGTGCCAAAATACATTAAAAGCTGACAAATAAAGGTATCAGTCATCATTTGGGAAAAGGTACACAATTTGTGACTGTTACAAACAATGTGGTATTGCTACAAGAAGCATAGACTCTTTATCCTGACCTCTTATGTCAACTATGAGTTTCTCAGAATGGGACTGCTTGTCTGCATTCATACACTAAATTCCCAATTAGTTATCCCTTACATCAGGTTATAGAATTTATAAGAAGCTAGTATAGAAGAAATGTACAGACGCCTTTTATGGTTAGCTTTTTAAATATAGAATGCTAAAAAAATTCTTTTTATAAATAACCTATAATTATCTAAAGCTGTAAAATCAGAAATAAGCCTAAATTAAGCTATTCTTTCATCTGTTGTTTCTTAAGAAATAAACTAAAAGAACTTTGCTTTCATAAAAGATTTTATTCGTTTTAAAAATCAAATATCAAAGGGTGAAGAACATCACCTTGACAGTAAAAAATTTAAAAATAAATAAATAAAAAGGTGAAGAAATCTTGGATATAAGAATGCCTATGATTTTTACATATCACCTTAAACTGAAGTAATCACACTAATTAATAGGGAAATCATAACAAGGCCCTTTCTTAAGCGGCAAGAGGAAATTAAAGATTTACTGATGAGGTAATGTTCAGTATGGGATTTGGGTAATTTGGGTATTGTCTCTGAACTATTATTAAATATTATTTCTTTATTCATTGAACATCTGTCCCACAGGAATGTGCCACATTTTATCAGTGTAATGAGTTTGATCAACTATATTATACACTCAAATGTTACCTAAATTTAAACTGATTCTTTGAAAAAAATGTATGTTGTATAATATTGTGAAAGTGTTTAGCTTTATTGGATAATTTAAAAGAAGTGCCTCATTGCAAAGTGCATTTCTATTGTAGACTTACTACACAAATTTTGAGTTATCTGCACCTATCTCTTATGAATAGTTTCATATCTAAATAAGCACTTGCAAGTTAGAGTGATCTTTTTAAAAGATTTTCATAAGAATATAGATAATCACCAAAGACATTTTACTGTAAGTTAATAACCATGTTGGAAAGACAGTTTTAACAGTTTAGTGGTTGTGAATTTTTAGATGACAACTTAATGTTAGTATAGTTAGGCAATAACCTTAATTATTTGCTAAAATATCACCAAAGAAAGACTTTGAAGTAAATCTTCTTGGTGAGGTTTTCCTTGCAGTACCCAGAACACACTTCTTCTCAAAAATGTTCGCTGTTTCTACACTATCTGATAATTCTTAGGAATTCCTCAAATATGAGAGAGAGACACACAACAAATAAATGAAACAAGCAAATGAAAAATTGGAGAAATACATATTTTTAAACAAAATTGAAATTGAGATTTTAATTTTTTTTGAGGGGGGTCCGGTCGTGGGGCCTGAACTCTGGGCCTAGGCGCTGTCCCTCAGCTCTTCAGCTCAAGACTAGCGCTCTACCACTTGAGCCACAGCACCATTTCTGGCTTTTTTCTTTTTGCTTATGTGGTGCTGAGGAATAGAACCTTGGGCCTCGGGCATGCAAGGCAAGCGTTCTACCACTGAGCCACCTTCCCAGCCCCGAGATTTTAATTTTTAAGAAGTGTTTTTATTGTGTGGCGGCAGTACAAAATAAATTTTAATTGTTTAGCTCCTGGGCTCTTAATAACATGCGACATTTTATTGCAGAGAGACTTTGACGAAAGTGCTGACGTGCTTCTTCCTTGTGTAGAACATAGTACATTTTACTGGATTTACATAAGTGCTTTTTCTATATTCCAAAGCAAAATTGTCATAAGGATTTTTGTTCTTAAGAAACGACTCTGACTTGTTTCTTTTTAATGACTTTATTGTTATTAGAATTATTTAGCCATATAGCAAAAAAAACATTTGACAAAATGGATCACAAAACAAGATCAGGAGAGATGTCCTGTTACATCAGCCCTCTGTGGGAGTCCATGCTGTGGGGTTTAACCATCCCTAGGATTAAACCTTTGTCACAAAGTCTTCTCTGACAGGTCACTGGGTAAGCCTCCTCATGCAGGAGAGAAATGGCTGCACACTGTATTGCATGCCCAGGTCAAGCAAGTGCTCTGTCACTGGCTACATCCTCAACCCATTATTCTGGTCTGTCATAAGGAGTTTTCTAGGAAACAAAACTTCGTTAGCAATGAGATGCTGGCTGGTGGTAGGAATTTCAAAACTGAGTGAGTTTTGCCAAAACTTATATAGATTTGAAACACAAAATATCTAAACTACTGTTACCATTATTTTAAGATACATATCACTAAAGTTTGGAGAGCAATAAGTAACGTAGCATGTCTCTTAGATCTGGTTCATGGGACAGTTGAAAAATATTTAATACACTAAAGGCTCAGAAGCCCTTTCAAAGCACAAACAAGCAGGCATTGCTGGGTTGACTTGATATCCTAGTTCAGTATCTTCATGGAAAACATGAATTTGAAAGGTCATAAAAATGTATTTAGTACAGAATTTTCTTATTTGTGGTTTTTTAAAGCAAAGTTAATTTCTGATAATTCCGAAGTGACTCTCCTCCTTTAAAATAGTCCTCACAAATTGTTTATTTGCTGTCCTTGTTTTGTTCAAATAGAATTAAAATGCTTGAGTATTTCCTCTTCAGGAAATTAGACATTTAACTTTAAAATAATTACTTTAAATATTCATGTAGTTGTATCTATATACTCAGTTTCTACGATTTTCTGCCCCCTTTTTCTATGATTTAAAACTGAGAGACTGATTTTTTCAGAAATACTCTCTGAAAATTAAAAAATGAAAAAAAAGAAATACTCTCTGAAAATTATCTTTAAATCTAAAATGAAGTGAAACAGATATATGTGAAAAACTGGGTCTAGTTTTCTTTGATCTTACAGAGTTTTGTAGAATAGGAAACTAATCCAGAGTAACATAGTTAGTAACCAATTAATTTATATAATTAACTTTTCATCAGTCTACTGGAGCAGGAGTTCTATACATTTAAATGTGATAGTATCAGCTTAACATTGTTTGGGGGCAGTTTTCTTTCTTGGTGTCTTTTTAGAATAGGGGTGGGAGTCTAAGTGTCCTTAATGAAGCTGTGGTCCAGGACAAAGAGCTTGTGGAGAAAGTACCAGTGTTTTGCTGCTTTCCTGCATCTGACAACACAACATACCAGTGATCATTCTTACTTAGAGTAGCCCTCATAATAAAGCTATCATAGCATATATTGTAAAGTTACGTTGCTAGTTTTACTTTGAAATATAAAATATTTTAAGCTTTTTGTCAAAAGTGGTAACATCTTAATACAAATAAAAACCTTTTTGTGGTTGTAAAACTTAGCTTATAAATCATTCAAATTGAAGTGAAAGAATTCCCAGGTCATTGTTAATGACTTAGTCTATTAAGAATATATGTATTTTTGTAAAGGAAAGCACTTGTAGATATTTAATCAGTACAAAATATATGTCTGTTTTGCAGAAATAAAATGCTGCTTAGAGATTCTCTTTACATATTTTTTATTTTTGTGCTCAGATGTATTTTCTGTTGATCTATGGAATGTTGTGTACAAAGCTGTATGATTGTATTGTTGGACTAGATACATTTTTTTTTAAATCTGGGCTTAGCCATGTATATTTGACCATGTTAAAAATAGTATCTTTGTTATTAAAAAATTGATTGCATAATTTGTTGTTTGTCATTTATTTAATATTAATAGCCTGACATTGTTATGGTAGTTTCCAATATCTCCTTGAAGTAGTATTCCCTTAGCAAGTTTTATTGAGCATTTGATATATAGAGTCTTGTGTTATTTGGTTTTAAGATGACAGACTGTCTTTCAATGAACATCTTAGGTAAATGTGGTACATACACACACACACACACACACAGAGTTGAAGGATTTCTGATTGTATTAATCAAAGTAAACAAAGACCAAAGAAAGGTCAGGGTGAATTGAAAGACATCTGTTTCAGCCTTTTAGAGGACTTGGCTTTGTTTATTACACACTGAGCACCTACTGGCTAAAGCAGGACCTGTAAGGCCTAAGTCTGGAAAGTTGTAATGAGTCGTATTTCTATCCTGTTACTTACAAGTGAACCCTGAAGGTGAGCCTTCAGTGCAATGTGATCTAGCAGGATTACCTTCCTACCATCTTTTAGCTACGCTTTTCCCCAAGCTTGCTGTAAAATGAGTTTGAGGAACCTTGTATGAAAGTGCTCCCAGATAATAGCACACATTCTTCTCCTCACTTGTCATCAGCCAGAACAGAACATGGTTTACTGTGCAAAAGACTGGAGGACATAGTGAAGCCAGGTCCCAAGCAGGAAAACATGAGTCACACTTGAAAAATGCTTTTGTCAACCCAGCCTTATCCCTGATTGCCTCACTAGTCTAAAATGATTTGGAGGATGGTTTTGCACTCAGGCTTGGCCTGAAGAGCTCAACAATGCATATAGCTAGGGAATTTGCAGATAGAATTTTTGGAAGCTATGTAAAACCTTACTGAGCACTCAGATCCCTGCCATGGAGTTGAAGATGTCAGGATGACTACCATAAAAGTCAGATGGAGATTCCTGTCTAAAAAGGAGAAATGAGAAGCAACACAACCCTGGTTCTTTCAAACTGTGCTCTCATAACCTTATATATCCTACAAATGCCTGCCCTCCCTGCAAACCCATGTTTCTCTTTATCAAGCCCTTTTCTTTTGTCATTCTCCTTACAAATCCTGCTGTCTTACAAAGTCCTCCTCTAAAGCCTTACTCCTTCCTGCAAATCCTCTGCTTCTCCCAAAGTATAGCTCTTCAATAACCTGCACCTACTATGAAGACCTCCTTCCACCTAGCCCCACTGAGCAACAATATGGCCTAGCAGCACCTACAAAGCCCTCTATTTATTACCTCTCAAAGCCACAGTCCTTTCAAAGCCCCATTCCATTTAACTAAACTCCACTATTCAAAACCCTGCTCTAAACCTTAGGAAACTCTCCTAAAAGTCACCCCTCCTACAGATCCCTACCCACCTTCAAAGCCCCCTGATCTTTGCAGGGCCCTGCTTTTCCTTCTAGGAACCTTCCACCTTGCTTTTCCTACAAAAGCCATTTCTCCAAACAAAGCATTGTCCCTCCTACAAGGGCTAGCCCCTCCTACAAACAGCCAGGTTCTCCAGAGCCTGCACTTCCTGCAAAACCCTGCTACTTCCACAAGGGCTGTCCTACAAAACACGTTCTCATTTTCACAAAGCCCATACGCCCTGGTCGCCCACCCCACTTCCCGGCAACTCTCCATGGGAAACCTCACTCTACCTGAAAAGAGAGTCAAAGGGGGAAAGGGAACATTAGGGTGGTAGCGTAGGTTGGGGGTTAGTAGGGTTAGAATTAG